ATGGAAGGGGTCCCTGCCCGTGGCAGGGGTTGGAGCTGGATGGGCTTTAAGCTCCCTTCAACCCAACCCAGGATGGGGTTGTCATTTGAAGCACTCTGGTTTCTCAGTCAGTTACGTGCTTTGGAAGACTTGCTCATGGCTTGGAAACTCTGTAAAGTAGAAATATTCTGTTTCTAGAGCGAGTGCTCTAAAACCACTTGGGAAACAGCAGAGCAGGGAAAGGAGGGGACTTGGGTTTGACCACGCTGCGCATCCTTAGGCTCGAGCTCAGGAGCCCTGGCCCCTGGTAATTCCCTAAATCGTATTTTACTGGGCGGCCCCAGCCCAGGACAGTGTCCAGAAATGATGTAATAGTATTTGCATAACAAATATGGAACCAGGCAGCACGGGAATGAGGGTTATTTCTGTAGACAGCTGTCAACGTTTTAGTTCAATGCTTCCACGCAAAAAAAAAGCACTTAAGTTACGAGTTCTGTTTAATAAAGTATGCAAAAACAAGTGTGAAAAGAAGGTATCACATTGCTGACAGAAAAGACTTTTACTCAAGCCTGGTGGTATTGTAAAGTAGCGTCCCCCTCATTTAATGCCTTGTGAAACTCCTTGTCCTGCTAAATGTGTGTGCTGCCTCTTTATTTCACTTCTCTCTTTGCAGGGAAGCGGCTACAACTTTCTTCTCCCTTCACCCAAGATACTCGCTCTCAAGTGATCGGTTAAGGTAGAAGAGCTCTGTCAGGGTTCTCATTTTTAATGGCCTTGAGCTGCCCAACAGCTCAGAATGAGGTCCACCCCAAAAGATCCAGCGTTCCCATGTAGGGAATGTTTTCAGGTTTACTCAAAGGTCACACTCCACTTGGGTCACTTGGTAAACTGTCTGCCACAGACGAGTCACGGGTCAGGCTGACCATCCCCTGCTCCTGAGGATGTAACGGCCCTGCACAGCCCAGCTTGCTGGTGGTTCTAAAATGGGATCTTTGCTATGAAGCTTTGCCTGCAGTTCTGAATCTTAAGCCTGTAACTTAGGCTGCTGGTCTGTGTGTTTAGTCAAATGACTCCTTCCTTTTCTAGTCTCCAAGATTTCGAACGGATAAGTTGTCATTGCAGATTTGTGAGCTCAGGGGAGGGGAAAAACTGGTTTTCTTTAAGCACATGGTAATGGTGGTGGGGGGGAGGATTTAACAGGGCAAGATGTGAAGTCATGTCATTCTGAATTACATTACTAGCTATTTCTGCTAGCAGCTAGAAGCCGAAGTAGGAAGTAATAGAAGAGTTAAAAATACATACTGTGGACTTGATCATGGTGTGAGTAGATATTAAAAAGGCAAATATATTTTACCCTAGGAAATACATGGAGAGAGTTCCAGGAGCACAGGGGCACGTGAACAACCTGTGCAAGGCTCTGGAGAGATGTTACCTGGGATGCAGAGCACAAGTTTTGTCTCTGATCTTTAAGGTGGGTGACCTAAAGAGAAGGAGAGCCCTGATGACCACTGCAGAGGTTTTTACAGGCTGGCAAACCCAGGCTCTTTTGGTTTTTGCCCTTGAAATAAAAGCAGAAAGAAGACATTATTGGTTTTCTGATGGTAAATATGAGGGGATGTAAAGGTTTAAATTGGAGAACAAACCTGGGAGTAGGAGAAAATGGCCCTGAATAATCCTGGGCTTTCTGATCATCACATAGTAGTTTTCAGGGCTTCCTTGAAGTTCATAGGAGCAAGAAACCTTTCAAATTACTAAATGGTTGGGGAAGGGGAATACAGAGATTGTCTGGAATAGCAGAGAATTGGGCTTGATTATCCCAGGTATCTTTGGTTTTAAACACTGTATTTCCAGAATTGTTTTCCACGTGATGGAAAAGCCTCGATTGAAGAAGCAGTCGTTGACATTCCACGGAAAGGAGGAGAATCCTGGCTCCATGTCGTGTTCTCACACACCTGAGCTATGGCCGTTCGCACTCACTGCCTTTGGGTTTGCATCCAAGCGATCAGGTCAGATCACAGTTTCATTTGCCACTTTGTTAACTTCTAGACAATCAGGTTGTGGGAGTGTTACCAGGAAAAGAACAAAAAAAATGCATTAAGGCTCCATCCACCCTCTTATCAAACATTGATTTCTCAATGTTAAAGCACAGCTGAGTTCAGGGCTGATCTGAGATCAGAGCCAGCTCTTACCTTTTCAGGCCTTTCCTTGGTGAGTAGCTCTGGGTCTTGGCTGAAGCAAAATGCCATGATGACAAGGGCTCAGCTTGCACATGAAGTCAAGACTGTGTTGGCCTGGCTTTAAATTGTTTTAACTTAGTAAATGACTTTGTAACTTGATTTTCTTCTAAATAGCAATGCAACTTTGCTAAGAAAAGCAGCTAACTCAAGTTTTGTTTTGCTTATCTCAGTCATCTCATGTACAATCCGAGGAGCGTGATCCCTGAACGAGTAATGCCATGAAAGCAGCACTTGTTGAACAGCTAAGGCTGCCTTGCCATGTTTATGGGATGTGTAGACGGAGCCAGGACAGACTGAGCACAAAGGAAAATGGAGTTTGTCGAACAGAAGTTACTCTTTCACGTGCGTGGGCACCGCAGTGCACAATCGCTGCACCAGTTCTAATCCGAGCTGAGCCTGCTTGGCTCTGCAGTGTGAAATGAAATGAGTCAGGGCTCTGCCAACGCAAAATAGCTCCATGTCACCCTGCTACGCTCTCCATATGAATAGCTGGTGTCCCTTGAGTGACCTAACCCAAGCCATCGCAAGATTTCCAGTGCTATTTTGGGGTAAAGGCGCTTGCTGCAGGCTTTACAGATCAAAGGCTCCCTAAAATAAGTATTCTGGGTTAGCTGCCCATGATGGGCTGTGGATCTGTGCACACAACCTGGGAGCACTGCAGGAAACAGAGCAGCTTCTTGTCAGATCCACTTCTGAGGGGAACTGTGGGTTGAAGGAGACCCTGGATGTCGTAGGAGCATGGTGAGCCCTCAGGGTGAGGTTACTCCTGTCTTGTTGGTTTACATCCCCTGGAACTGCTCCCCTCAATCCCATTCCTGCCTGTATCCCTGCCCAGGGACTCGCCATGGCTTTCTCACTGATGGAGCCATGTCTCATGGTGGGGACAGAACTTATCTCCAGTGATGCTGAGGGAGGTTTCCTCTAAAGCACAGGGCTTCCAGGGTTTCCTTTTGGCCCCTTGGTGCTTTGTGTGGGATTCACCCTCTGCCCATCCCATCTCCCAGCCTCTGGGGGATGGCCGAGTGATGCTGCTGCAGAGACCCCGGCGCTTTGCACTGCTGCTGGCCTCCCGTTTCGGAGATGCATCCCTCAGCCCCTGTACCTCTTTTCTCCCCCCGCTCCCGAGGGGCCTGCTTCTGCCTGTGTCATCGCCGAAGCACCAGCAGCGGCCTCCCAAGGGAGGGCAAAGCCCCCGGGGCCAGGTCGCCTCCTCCGGCCGCCGCCCGGCGCCGCTCTCCGCCCGCCCAGCGCCTCCGCCGGGCCGGATGTCGCGGTACCCGCGGGAGGCGAGGCCGCTGCGCTCTGACAGCCCCGAGCCCGGGCGGGCAGGTGGAGCCGGGACCGCGGCCGGAGCATGGAAGGTGAGAAACGATCCCGCTCGTTCCGCGGGCCCGAGGCCGGGGAAGCGCCGCCGCTCGGGGGCTCGGCCCGGGCTCCACCTCCCGGTGCTCGCGGAGTCTCCTTCTGCAGCCGTGAGGAGAAACCTCAGCGCGTGGTGCAATTAAACAGGAAACGAACGGGGCTCTTTGCCCCCTCTCTGTTTAATTTCAGCACCGTCACAACGTGTAGGATAAAGTCGGGCTTTAGAGCCTACTGTATCCGCTGTTCATATTGCAGGTTTTAACGAATTAAAGGGGGTGTTGGTTTCTTTTTGCTTGGAAAACGTGCAGGTAACTTTCAGAGCCAGCAAACCCCAAGCTGTATGTTAATTTTGGGCTGCAGTGTAATTTGATTTGGGAGAAGAGGAGCATTAGCAGAGTTTGTAACAAGCCTGGCAAAGCATCACTTGGTTTGTTGTGTCAGAGTTGAACGGTTTTATTTCAACTCATCATTTGAAGGACTTGAGTTTAGGTTCTTTTCCGTTTCAGTGCCCTGAGGTCTTTGGTTATTGTCAGTTAGATGCAGTTGCCTCTTTAAAAAGTGTATTCTCCTTTGCTAAAAGCTTTAAAAATGTTTGTATTTAAAGAATTCTTCTCCTAGAATCTGACTGAATCGAGAGACATAACTGATGTTGAGACAGACTGGGTCTGGTGCCAGTTGGGCAGCTTCATTTTCTTGGTCCCCCTGGGTCCACTGTGTGTCTATGGGAGAAGGAAGATCTTTAGGTGTGTCAGTGGAGTCTGGTTAGAATGGGAGCATGTTTTTGGCATTCCAACTGAGGTTATTGAAGTCTCTTTTCTGTGTTCCTGTTTCTTATATGCTTAAAGTTAACATGCAAATAACCCTTTGGGTTTTGGTTCTGTCCATGGGGATTAAGAGTATCAGAGGATCAGTTAATGTGCCTGAGCTTGTTACATTAACTTCATGCAGAAGGTGAAAGTGCTGTTCTGTGTATCTCAGGCTACAGTAACTGAGCAGTGTCTCTGTTTCCATGGGTCTTGGGGAAACCTGAATTCCCCTGGATGAAGGGGGATTTTCTGTTGAGGAAAAAAGGACACCACTTTTGTCCTGGATTGTCAGTGTGAGGAGGCCCCGTATGATCACTGCCCAGGACACAGGCACCAGCAGGAGAAGCTATTTGAGACCTGGGGCCAGGAAGCCAAAACCTGTGATCAGCTTGGTCGTGTTGGGGGATTTGCTGCACTGGGATGGACGTGTTGATCTGGATGTCAGAGTTACTCTGCTGGGTTTAGAAGGTTGCATGCTACAATGTGAAAAAAACCCCAACATTATCTTTAGTTACTGCTGGTCAGGATTTCTTCCCCAAATGGCTTAAAATGCCCTTGTCACTTCGAGCATTACATGGTGCTTAAGAACAGGAAAGTGTAAGAGACCATGTAAAGAGTTTCTTTGGTGCCTTCTTCAGAAAGCCATTGAGAGTGGAAGTGCTGGAGAAGGCCATTCAGTGGGGAAATTTCCTTTTCCCTCTGTTCGGCCTGAAAGCGAAAACCACATTGGGAGAGAGCAGTTGAGTGCTGCACATCACAAAGGTGCTGGCTCTGCTGTGAGCATTTAGGGGTAAGGCTGGAGGGGGTCTACCTGTAGGGCAGAGGCCAGGGTTTGGTGTGTGTTTTATTTTGCCTTGCTTGTGCCTCTGAAGATGGCACGAACAAGGAAATGAGCTGTGATTGTTCCACGTGCTGTGCTAGAACTGAGAGCACACAGGGTTTGAAAAGAAGTCCCCTTCGTGATGCTATTGCGTTGAAACCTGCAGCTGGCAGTAAAAAGACAACGTTCTGGGTTTCACTTTGGAGGCAAACAGGTAAGGTTAGAATAATTCAAGGCATCCCTCACGTTTTGATGTCTGCACTGGTGATGGAGGGGTATCAGTGTTATCCTTTATTTGAAAAACATCCTGTTTGGGGGTGTTTAAAATACGGGTAGGTTTTGCTGCTTCTATTAGCTGGTCAAATACTAGGATAAAGCGTGAGTCCAGTTCCGTGTTATAATGCCCCAGTGCTTTCTTTGCGAGTGATTTGAATATCTGTGCTCACTTTGGCTGTTGGGAGGACACAGGATGCCTGAGGATTGCTCTCAAAAGCACACGGACTTTACTTCTGCTTTGCAAATGCACATCGAGCGCCCGTTGCAGCACACACAGGCACGCGTCTCCTTCCCGTGCACCCGGGTCAGTGCATCCCTTTGAAGCTCAAGAAGACTTAATGTGTTCTGTAAGTGATCTCCTGCGATGTTGTCCTCTGAATGCTGGGTAGGAACATGGTCTTATTTGTACAGCATCAGGGCTGGAAGTTTCCTAGACCTCCTTCCAGCATGCTTATGTGACATAGTGAAGGATCCGGCTTAAAATACTTTATTCAGGAAAGAGACCTGAGCCTGAATAGTAAAAGACCACTAGGGCTTTAAGAAGCTGCTTGGGACTAATATAAAGAAACCAGACTCTGATGGGTGGATGTTGGAGGCTTGAAAGTGATGGGAAGTCTGGTTTATTTCTCAACAGAAAAGAGAGATATCATACGGTTGTTCTTATCTCATCAAAAGGAGGTTTAGATTGGATATTGGGAAGAAATTATTCACTGAAAGAGTTGTTAAGTGTTGGAACAGGCTGCCCAGGGCAGTGGTAGAGCCACCATCCCTAAAGGGATTTGAAAGGTGTGTAGATGTGGCACGTGGGGACATGGTTTAGTGGTGGACTGGGCAGTGCTGAGTTAACGGTTGGACTCAGATGCACTTAAAGGTCTTTTCCAACCTAAACGATTGTGTGACTGTGCTGCCCAACAGCCCATGATGGCCAGGAGCCTGTTACACTCAATAATAAACCCAGAGGCCATCCCGCTAGGAAGCAGATGGGAAGCTGAGGGCTGAGCAGATCCAGCTCTGCAGTCGCGTGGGTCAGGCAGTGCTGATCTCTAGCAGGTTGTCCTGCAGCTGCAGGTCAGAGTTGCGCAGAGCAGGATGGTGCTTGGACTGTTCAGGGCACACAGAATCTTGTGTGATGTGATTTAGCAATGCAGCCTCCCTGGTGGAATGCCTGTGATGTCCTGGGGAATCCCATGGTTTCTGAACCAATAGAGCTACACAGGAACATGTGCAGAACTATGGACTTTGAATCATCATTTAGGGGCTCTCACTCTGCCTTTCAGGACCTCCTGCAGCCCAGGGCAAGGCAGAATTGCTGTGTGTTCCCACCCACACCTCCCCCTGCCCTGGCTGGCACCTTTTGGGCTTAATTTTGGTTTTGGCCAGTTCAGGATTTTCTCAGCCCAGGATTTCAGAATGCAACTAAACCCCAACTCAAGTATTCCAGAGAGATGGGGAATTGTCTTGCCCAAAGCCTAATTGTTTGCACAGTTCCAAGGGTTTGTGCGATTGAAATGTCTATATTCTTGCAATGTAAAGTTAAAATCGAGGCTAGAGAGAATTTTGGTTGTGTATTTACTGATGTTTCCCCATCGGTATTGGTCTGTTTGCTGCTTTGGATCTCACTTCTACTGGTGTGATGATAGATGAAACAAGGACAAATGAAGAGCTCTAACCATGGACTTCCTTCTTCTAATGTGTTGATTTTAAAAATACAAATTTAGTAAATACTTGAGCTTTTTGTCAGTAAATTCCAATCCTATCTTTAGGCCCCAAAGCGATGTTCTTAGCTCTAATAAAAGCCACTTGATGAAAAGCTCCCACTCATGCTGTATTTAGTGGAAGGAGAGGAGCTCTGGTTTCATTTTAGGATACGTTTCATAAGTGCTAATGGCTTAAACCACTTGTCTCCAGTCAGGAGTTCCACCCTGAAGAGCTCAGGCCAGCTCTAGTCATTGTGTTTGGTTTTCCTTGCCCTTCTTTGGTAACAGCCAGTTAAGAGTAATGGGAGCTACTGCATAATGTGACCCTGAGGCCCACTACTGAGAGATGGGAGCTGAGTGCTTTCAGTTAGGAAACAATGAACCAAAGAAGGAAAAGCTCCCTTTGGAGAGTTCTGTTGTCTTGGCGTTTGCCTTTATTCTGTTGGAGGCATCAGCCCCTCCTCTGCTGCTGCAGGTTTTTGGAAAGCCTCCTCTGCTACCAGGCTGCTTTGCTGTACTTAACAGAGCTGTGTATTTTGACGTTGCAGAGACCACAGAAATGTTCCATAGGCAGCGAGGGTAAAGAGAGAGAGCTCTGGGTAAATGTCAGTGGTGGTTAACACCTCGCAGCCACTGTAAGTGCACTGCAGTTACGTAACTATCAGGAAGGAATTCTGCCAGGCTGGGAGCTGCTATTTGATATGGTCAAAGATGAGAAAAGATTTTATGGCATATAAAAAATAGAGAAGGGAGGAAGGAGGCAGGTAGCTGTGACACTGAAGAAAACCAACCCTTGCATCAATGACATCTCAAGACATCAAGGTGCTGAGTAAAGCCTTCACTGGACAGGTCAGAGCTGTCTCCAGTTCACCTCACCACCCTGAATTCAGGCACTGCAGTGGGAGATGGAAAAACCTGCAGCTTGTCTTCAGGCGTTCTTTTGAGTGCTCAGAGCTTTTGGAAACCACACATGTAGCCCTCTAAATTCCTTCAAAAATCCCTATCAGAATCTCTAAATGGGAATTAAATATCATGGAAGGTGTCATGAAGATAGGTTTTCCCTTTGTGTTGGAAAAGGAATGTAAAACACCTTTGTGCTTTATAGAAATTCACTTCCTACAGAGTTACTACCCCTCCACTGTACTTGCAGGACGGTACATTGCAAGGGTAAGTTACTCTGTTCTGCAGTAGTTCAAAGTCAGAAAATAACATTTAATCCCTTTTCTGGGCACATGCCACTGCTCAAGGTTGTCCAATGAAACAGAACAATGAGTTGGTATTTATTTCTGGGGAAGTTTTGCTTTTTCACTTTTGCTTTCAAGCAAGAAAATGGGAATTTATAGGCTTAGAGCAACTGTGTCACAAATGGTTCTGAATATTAAACAAATCCGGTGGCTTTTCTGTCCTTTTGCAGGTTCAGAGGCAGGTATGGACCTAAGTAATCCTCAGGAACAGCCACTGGCTGCAGGTACAGTGCTTTGAGTTATGTTCTTTCACCCTCTTATATGGAGGAAAATGTCTGCGTTGCAGCTTATTTCAATTCCCAGGACACTGAATAGCACCAGGACAAAGATGGGTGCTGAAGGCAAAAGGGAAATTGCAGAACTGAAATAAAACTGTGGATATTCAACATAATATTGGAAAATTATACTAAAAGCCAGGGTGGGGGGAAGACTGTAGAGTAGGGAAGGAAATGTTTCGGGAGACACCTGGAAGTTTGGATTAGGGAAGCAAGAATAATGTGATCCTATGTGAGAGTTTGTCCATGACTTTGAGAAGCAAATCCATCTTAATGCCTCTGCAAGCAGAACACTGTGGCCATGATGAGTAGCACCAGGAATTTGCAGATGCTTTGAGGGAATCACTTGGAAATGCTCTTGGAGCATAAATAACAAATTGTTGTGTTGGGGTGTTTTTCAGAAGGACAGGAGGTTTTGACAGACTGTAATCTGAGCAAATCCCAGGAAATGGAAAGGATGGATAATGCAGCAGATATGAAGGAACACAATCAGTCTAATGAAGAAGCAGAAGGTAAAGTGGAGACTGAGTTCTGAAAACTAACAGTTATATTTTGTCTTTTGAATTATCTGGGCATGCCCTGAGAGTGATTAGGAAGTTTATTTTGGATCATGGCTCTGGTTTTCCTGTATGGCTGCAAAAGGATGTACAATGCAATTACTTTAGAGTGTTTCAACATGCTCTGGAGGAGGAGTAACTGTATCCCACCAGGGAACCTCACGTGCATTTCCTAAAGGTCACTTTTACAGGAGCAAGATAAAAACCCTGTGCGTAGGGTGAGCTCTTCAAGATGTGTTGGAGCATACAAGTTCTTAAAAGTAGTTTGCATATGACAAATGCACTTTTTATTAATGTTGCTGAGCCACTCTGATATCTGAAAAATAACATGCTTTTTGTTTTAAAGAAAGGATAAATTACCTCAAACTCCTAGGACAACCCAGCTCTTTAACATGTCAAACTGTGGCAGTAATCCTGTGCTTTAAACTGTGGGTGGACAGAAGGTTGGCCAGTTTACCATGGTGTTTAATTTGAGCAGTAAACCCTTCCTATACAGCTCTGAAATAAGACACAGGTATGAACAAAATGTTAAACCAATTGGTACTATTTCTCATTGAAGAGGTCCTACGTAAGTGTGTATTTATGTGTAGCTTTAAAAACTAGTAGCCCACCTTCATTTAATAGCTAAAAGGTAAAAGAAGCAGCTCCTGGATATGGCAGTCTTGCAGCCACTCAGGGTTCAGGAGCTGTGCAGATGACAGATGTAGAGCAAGAGACTTTCAATCCCTTCCTCAAGGTAGAAGCTGCTAAAGTGAAATCACAGCATGAATAAACCTTCCTGCCAGTTAGCTGAGCGTGTTCATTTATGCCAGTTCTCAACCACAAACAGTGAAAGATGCTGCCTGGTGGAGGATGTGGTGTCCATATCCTGGGGAAAAGGCAGGCTCATGTGGCCTTTCAAGTGCTGCATGGCCATGGCACTGTGGCACTGTCAGGACAAATGAGGGCTGTGGCTTTGATCAGTTCTGAGGTAGCATTTATGTATCACTAAGGAATTGTCTCTGTCTTGGATGCCCAAGTAGCTTTGGGTTGTGTCCTGCAATGGAAATGCGATTATTTTAGACTAACATGAAATGTTCAGGATTAAACATTATTAAAGCTCTATTAAAGATGGAACTTTTCCTATTTATTAACAAAGTAGAAAACATGAAACCCTCAAGGGAAGTGCTGCACTAGCAAGAGCCCATCAGGAGGGAGAAGTTATCTCCCTTGGGTATCTATGACCTTGGTGTCTAGGTGAACTGCACCAGTGTCTGGCCTTGCTTGGCAGTTGGTGCAGTGAGAGCTCACAGGTTCCTCACCAAATCTGGCTGTGTGACAGGGTGAAATGCCTCCTGTCCCCAGAGCAGCTGCTTCTCGGCAGGACTCCATTTATAGTCAGTGGAGAGTAGCTTAGTGTACGTCTGCAATGTGGGATGTAGCTTGGGCAGGTGAGTTCTGCTCTGCTTACCCCAGAAAGAGAAGTTTAATGTTTTTATCCACAAAATGTGGATGGGTTTGAGCCTTTTCTTCATCCAAGGCGCCTGATCTCTCTTTCGGATCTCACAGCACATAAAATCTTTTCATCCGTGTTCCAGCTATTTGTCCATCCCACTCATATTCACTCACTTCCACCTCTGCTTCCCCAGTGTCCCTGCCCTTCCCTGTCGCCTTCCTCCATCCCTAAACTCTGCATGGAAGAAGCCAGGGAAGGGTTTCTTTCACAACCTCCTCCAAGAGGAACTGGGAATATTGATCATCCAAGAGGAATTGCTTTAGCTTCTCCCCGCCTCCCCATTCCAGGAGCACTGTCTATACTGCTTGCACACTCAGCATCATGGCATCAAGTCTCTTTTTCCATTCCTTGACTGTCCTATGTCACCTTCAGCACCTTTCCTCAGGCTCTTTTCCACACACATACATCAGGTGCAACTTTGACACTTGTGAGAGAATGTTGATGCTGACACTGCTCTTGTGCACCATTCGTTGTTCTGCATCACTGCTGATCTCTTGCACTCTCTTTGCAATTTGTTCTGGAGTGCAAATATGGAGAATTCACATTTCAAAGATAACATTGTAAATACCAACAAAACCTCATTTCCCTCTGATTGTCTCCCTTACCATGAGAGCATTCCTTCATTTTAAAGTGAGTATGAACCTAGTACCGTGGTGCTCAATTCTTTGATTCTCACTGTAGGAATAAAGACACAACTGCTGGGAGAAAGCTGTTAGAAATGCACAGAAAAGCTGCAGTATCTCAGTGTGAAATGGCACAAACTAAAATCCATGTGGTGCTTACTCCATTGCTTCGCATACAGTTCTCCACAGTCATTCTGATACCAGAAGCACGATAAATCTGATGTCTTTACGTGTGCTGAAGTCCTCGAGGCTGTGTGAGCAGCAGGAGCTGTGTCCAAATTCCTGACAAAGCCAGGATGCTAGAATTCCCAAATAATCTTAGTTGACATGTCATGCCTACTCAAGAGCAGGAGCAGCTCCGTTAGGAGCAGTGCTTGTGGCTCAGTAACTATCTGTTGTGCTTCTGGGTAAGTGGAGCCACGCTCTGGTGGTGCTGCCCGGGTGGGAGTGTGATCTTTCAGGATCACTAACCCTGGTACAAATGAGTATGGAGTATTCTCCAGAATCACAGGATAGAAATCTCAGGATGAGTGATTGCTCTTGGGAAATGGATTATGTCCTGTGTGCACCTGAAAAGTCTGTCTGTTGAAAAACCTAAAAGCTCTACTTGTCCCTTTTCTTGATGTGATCACTAACACCCTCCTTGCGTGTCAAATGTATAGAGGAGTCTTGCAAAGATGTTGGTGTGGTTCTCATAAATGTTAATCCCGGTATCCATGATCCATGCCTTTTGTGAGTAAGCAATTCCACTTCAGCATCCTTGCAATTCATTGCAGATGACAGCCTGCAACACTGCAAACTCTTTAATCCCAAATCCCTGCATATGAGCTGTGCCCACAGGGTTTGTTCCGTCTGCTGAAGGTGAGACCACTGACTAAGAGAGAGATCAAGCATTTGATAACCTGGTTTCCACTGCCTTAATATGTCTGTAACGTGTGTTTCTTCAGCACGATGATGTGTTTTTTCCATGTTTTGCCAGCCATTCAGTAGTGATCTTCCATTCCTTGGACTATATGCTTTTTGTGAAGCTTCCATTATTAATGGCTGATGCTCTAAATACACTGTGAGCTTTATAGAACCATAGAATGGTTTAGGTTGGAAGGGACCTTAAAGGTCATCTAGTTCCAACCCCTGAGACTTTAAGCAGAAGTTGGAGCCTGGTCATATCTAGACGTTGCCTGACTCTAGTTTGGTGGGGTTTTATGCTAAGCTGCAGAAAGTGGTACTCTGATCCCTTCAAAAGGCTACAGAAATTTCATAAAGGCACTCAGTAATGGTAGAGGCTTCAACCTGTCTTGCTTTTGAAAGGACTTCAGCCATGCTGAGTGCTAAGTACAGGGCAAACAATTAGGCAGAAGGCTGGAGTAATATGTTAATTAAAAGCCTGCTGGAGAGCAAGGAGGAAAAAAAGAAAGAGCCCCCCCCTCTTTTTGCCTCAGGGGAATGAAGCTGCATGCTGTGGTGCACATGGTGCACGCTTGCCTGCAACCATAAAAATACACTGTTCCCATGGTGCTTCCTGTGGCTGGGCTGAGAAGAGGCAAACCCTGAGCCAGAGAGGGGAGGAAGCACTGAATTTCTCTGGTCTTTTTATGTGTCCCCAACACTTACCTTTGGAGGCCATAGATGAGGCATCTTTCGTTTAAAAATGAAAGAAAAAGGCCACATTCTTCCCTATGGGAGTCAGAGTCAAGTTTAATTATGTCTAAATTCCCTCCTCTGTTGAGGCTGCTGATTTTGGGGGTGTTCTGAATGTTAGTGAGCTTTCCTGGTTGTGAACTAAAAAGCAATAGAAGCCACATTCGTGGTTTCTGGATGCTGACTGCTGCTGCATTTAGGTGTGTGAAAGGGGGGGTAAAAGGCTGAAGGGAGCCAGGAGGGGATGAAAAGCCCTCGCCTCGATGCACTGAGGTTCCAGTGGTGCTGCTCACACACTCACTTATCTGCTCGAAAAGGAAGTGCCGTTTTTTATCAGCTATTACATCTCCCAAGCCCAGATCGAGCCTGGCTGCTCATGGGACTCAGGGCTTATCTCACAACATCAGCAGAACCGTGCTGCAGAAGTTCACTTAACAGGGGATTTCTGTAAGTGTTAAAACCAGGCAAGGAGTCTGTGCTGCTCTGCTGTGTCAGGCCGCTGCTTTGGTGGCTACACATGAACCCAGAGCTGTGTCTGAGTCTTATCACCAGAAGATCCTCTTGACTTTGCTTTAGCTCTCTGTACTGTACCAGCAGCAGCAGGGGTGCACCCAAGAACATTCAGTGACATCAACAGTGGGTTGTCTCACCGCAGCCTTAAGTGACTGACATCAGCTTGGCCTGTCCTGCACGATGGGAAGCCCAGAGCTGATCCAGGAGCTCAGATATTCTGATGGCCTTGAAACAGCCAGAAAAATGCAGCTATTTCTTATTCCAATTAACCTGTCATTGTCAGCAGAAAGTGGAATTTGCCTGGGAGATATCATGGAATCCCACAGAGGTTTGGGTTGGAAGGGACCTTAAAGCTCATCTGGTTCCAAGCCTTCCCCTCTGCTCTGAGTTTGGGTTTGGTGGACAGGCTTGGACATTACTGAGGAAACACTGAGAAGAGCAGGCTAAAAGTAAATCACAAGTATTTAATTATGAATCCCTAAATTTGGAGAGAATGTCCTTGAAATCTCAAATTCAAGTCTTGAAATCTAGTTATATACTGCAGACAAATAGTTTATAGTTGAATCAAATCAATACACTTGGGTTTGTGAAGTTTATATTGTTTAAGGAATTCGAACAACTTCTTAACCCACCTCTTGTCTTCAGTTAAAACTCGGTTGAGATTGGTCACAGATTTCCCTGTTCTTCATATTATTAGACTATGTTTTCTTTTCATATGATACTTTTTTAGTACCAAACACAAGAGGATGGTGGATTATAAGAAAAGGCTGAATGAAACTCTTCAACTTCTTAGCTTTGATGTTCATTTGCAGAAGCAGTTGACCAGAGAGGCTCGTGCCTGAGTGGTTGCATTAGTAATAGGTCCCCTGATATAACTAATGAAGGTGATTATCTGCATTTAACATGTGCCCTTTCTCAGTCTGACTGTTGGGTCCAGATGTTCTCTGATTAAGTGTCTAATTGCAGCCTGATTTAACGGTTGTGGTTGTATGTGGCTTTCTGGACTTCAGGAATTGTCATTTTACAAGTGTTTTCTGTGAGTGTGGTTCTCTTCCCTGGCACAGAAGGGGAGAACTCATCCCGTTTCATATTGTTACGTGTGGTTTTTAAGAGGCAGGCTTTCAAGCTCTTGAGATTTGAAAGGGTGATGTTAACAGGTGTCAGAAATGAGCCAAGGTTCAGCTGGCCTTTGGAAAAACTGGGTGCTGGTAGGCCTGGGGATGGGGGGTGGCATTCCCCCGATCCTCTGTGCTCCAGTAGAGACAGCTGAGGGAAACCAGCAAGCTCTTGGTGCCTTTTGTAAGTAAAAAAAACCCACAAGTAAAATCCTATGGGAGTTACAGCACGGCACTGACCATATCCAGCCCCTGGTCACGTTGTCTCAGGTGATGGCATTCTGCCTCCCCAGGTTTTGTAGCACCAGTTAAATGCCCTGAGCCATGACCTGGGGCTGTGGGTTGTCCTGCTCAGCTCCAGCTCTGGTAGTGCTCCCTTTGGAGAACGTTTCATTTCTCCCTGTTTCTGTTAGTAGAGTTTTAATTCCTGCAGCAACATTTTGAAAGAAAGTCAAATAATTCCCACTAGATGATGATTAGGCAGAAATTGGGAAGAGATGGGAAATACTGGGTGTGAAATGATAGATTTATAGAGGAATATACATAATTACAAGAAAAATCTTTGAATACGATGCTTGAAGGCCCAGTTACACAATTCAAGTTTCCTGGCTCACATAAGCTTGGAGATGATGTGTGTTGTTTCATTATGTTTTATTGAGTTTTGCTTGTGATGAACAGGACAACTAGAGAAATTATTCTGTGTTTTAATGCTAGAGAGACCCTGGTATTAATGAAGTAGAAAATATGCATCCGACCACTTGGAAAATGATGCCTGGGTCAGGTTCTCTTTTTTCCTTTCCAATCCTCATGCTGCATTTCAATTTTGTTTGTTTCTATTTTTTGTTTCAAGTCACAATAAACCCAAAGAAGCACATTACCACAGAGTATTTTTAGAGCGACATTTCCACCAGGTGCATACCACATGGGTTCCTTTGGGAATTACCACCCAAGGGTGCTTCAGACAGTGTCTAAGCAGCATAGTGCTTGGGTGTTGCACAAAATGGAGACTGAACAGCAGTACTGGAAGGCACAAAGATAAAATAAAGCAAATATAGGATCCCAGACTGGTTTGTGTTGGAAGGGACCTTAAAGCTCATCCAGTTCCAACCCACGGGCAGGGACCCCTTCCACTGGAGCAGCTTGCTCCAAGCCCCTGTGTCCAACCTGGCCTTGAGCACTGCCAGGGATGGGGCAGCCACAGCTTCTCTGGGCACCCTGTGCCAGCGCCTCAGCACCCTCACAGGGAAGAGCTTCTGCCTGCTTTGTCCAAGTAATAATAAGTGGAGGCAGTGAAATCTGTGGATTTCCAGTGATTTCCTCAACAGAACAGAGGTGGTGGATGCCACACTTGGGATTTTTGGTGCTAAAGACCCTAGCAGGCCAAGCCTGGTGCTGTACTCACCATGGGTGGGAGCACATGGTTATTGCCACTGTATCTTTGCCACCGTTGTGGCCACTGCTGTCTAGCTGGAAGCTGATAGTGCTCCTGGGTGATCCCTCCCTCCCTTGGTGGCAAACAAGGCTTCAGAAAAGCTTCAATCTCCTAAAAGCATTGTTGCGGTTGTAAAAAGGGAGCTTATCACTGGAGTCCATGTGAGAAACAAGGCCAGGTTGGGCCACGGAACCTGGAACTCCTTTTGCTTCCCTAGAACTGAACGCTGCAGTGGGGTGAGACAGACATGGAGAAAAGTTCCCTTCTCTCTGTGTTGCCTCTATTAAAACCCCAACAATCTCACGTTGCTCTTGTGTCACTTTGCGTGTTATAATTCCCCATTATAGTCTCCAGATGTTCAATATACACATGCATGTGTGTGTCCTTGTTTTCTTATTATTTAAGGAAAACCCCTTAGGTACTGCATTGCTGACTATTTTGATGTTTGTCATTCCGATGCAAACCTCTCTCTGTTCATTGAGGAATAGGGTTGGGTTTAATTCATGGCAAATCTTCCCCCCGCGGTGTGTTAATTCCATGGCAGAGGTGTTTATTGTGACTCGAATCTGGAAATTCTGCTGCCTTTTTCAGTTTCCACACGTAGGGCTGTTGTGTTTCAAGCTGCCTTAGGTACAGGAGTCTCACATCCTGGGAGGAGAGCAGCTCTAGCAGGACTACGCTGGGTTTGGGCTTTATACTGCTGTTTCTGGGGATGATTTGTGAAGGGAACAGTGCTGAATCCAGCAGTTAATACCTGTCAAATCCAGGTAGGCACCAGAATCCTTCAGTATGTGCCTGTATCTACTCCCTTCTTGTTCTTTGGCATCTGACTCCTATTAACAGCTGTCAAAACCTGGTAAACTATTTATGTGCTTTCACAATTTGTTTAATTGCATAGTTAGGAAATGGCATACAAGAAAAGCTTTCCCTTTTTCTTTTCCCCCTTTAGTCTGCCTGAACATCTGTAGCATTAGGGGCTCATTATCTCGGAATTGGCACAGCAAATCAGCAGCAGCATTAAAGTGCCACATTAAGATGATGAAGTTTCTTTGTTACCCAGCTGACTTCTTGCATGTGCTGAGGATTTCACGATTATGACCCCGCTCCTTGTAAAACACTTGAGTAACATCACCCTTTTGTGCTGTTGTCTTTAATAGCTTCTGCTTTATATTCTTTGTGCTTTTCAGAGCACTGCTGGTAAACTTTGCTTAACAACAGGACCAAACTGATGTTCTTTTCTCTAGGTTTGATGCCAAGGTGTTGGATTAAATACAGGACTTGGAGGGGGGGGGTTCCTTCCAGGGCCTCCTCCTGGGGGGAATAGCCAAGATAATGCTATGGCCTGGCCTGTTTGCTGCTGGTGCCTCCTCTCTTTAGTCATGCATTTTCTAACGTACACAAGCACTGTTCATGTGGTGACTCAGTCTGCAGTTGCCACCACAGCTTTATTTTGGATTTTTTCCAGAACCCATTGTTTTTACAGTGTTTCGGGTGAAACAAAAATATTACTCTGGAGTAATGCCTTTCATCTTGTAATCATCTCCCCAGGAAATGAAACCATGTGCATCAGCCTTAACACATCACACTGGTGCTTTGTTGTGTCAAATCCACAACAGCGCTGTGCTGTGCTGTTATTACCTTCCTGAGCTGCCTCAAGAAAAATGGGCTTGGACACCATGGATGTTTTTTCCCTCTTACAAGCTCTTTGCTCTCCTAAGCAGGGAGAGATGACAGCACTTTTGTTCAACTGGGGGAGCTTTGTGTGTGGTGTTGGGGATAATGGTGGTTTTCCTCTGTCAAATTTCCCTGTTCTGCTTGAAGTTACAGCCACTTTCCTCTGGCTGAAGACCCTGCTCTCTTTGAAATACGAGTTTTGAGTGACAGATACAAACCTTTGCATGCAGCTGCCAGTTTCATGATCTCCCAGGGTTCCCTGTGCTGCCAGTGTACAGAGCAAAAGCCAGGGCTGCCAAAGGGTGCTTCGGACCTCTGCAGCTACTTGGTTCTGTGACCTGTACCGAGTTGGCCTTTCTTCTGAGTGCTTTGTACCAAAGCTTCCTTTTGTCATATTCTAAAGAATAACAGGAGCGTTAGGAGAGAAAAATCCCAACCCTTCTAACACCTATCCCAGGCACAGCTACAGGTTGGGCAGAGAAGAGATTCAGAGCAGCCCAAGGAGAAGGACTTGGGGGTGTTGGTTGATGAGAAAATGAACATGAGCCGGCTTCAGTGTGCGCTTGCAGCCCAGAAAGCAACCGTATCCTGGGCTGCATCAATGGCAGCGTGACCAGCAGGTCGAAGGAGGTGATCCTGTCTCTCTACTCTGCTCTTGTGAGACCTCACCTGGAGCATTGTGTGCAGTTCTGGGGTCCTCAGCATAAAAAGGACATGGAACTGTTGGAACAAGTCCAGAGGAGGCCACGAGGATGCTCAGGGGCTGGAGCAGCTCCCGTATGAAGACAGGCTGAGGAAGTTGGGGCTGTTCAGCCTGGAGAAGAGAAGGCTGCGTGGAGACCTCAGGGCAGCCTTCCATTATCTGAAGGGGGCTATAGGGATGCTGGGGAGGGACTCTTCATTAGGGACTGGAGTGACAGGACAAGGGGTAATGGGTTCAAACTGAAACAGGGGAAGTTTAGATTGGATCTAAGGAGGAAATTCTTTCCTGTTAGGGTGGTGAGGCACTGGAATGGGTTGCCCAGGGAGGTTGTGAATGCTCCATCCCTGGCAGTGTTCAAGGCCAGGTTGGATGAGGCCTTGGGTGATATGATTTAGCGTAAGGGGTCCCTGCCCACGGCAGGGGGGTTGGAACTGGATGATCTTAAGGTCCTTTCCAACCCTAACGATTCTATGATTCTATTTGGTCAAAAACCCACCTCTTCCCTCGTTCTTTCTGTTGTTCTCAGTCAACCAAAGGTGAGATTTTTCTATTGAGGCTCTCCAAATGCCTACATGGAAACTGAAAAGCAGGGGAGCTTTGGTGGGACAGCACCACCAGCTGAAGTGGGGGTGAGGGTTGCTGGGGGAGGCAGTGGTGGGAAAGCCTTGCTCAGAACTGGGGTGCATCCTTCTCTGTTGCTGTCAGAACACACAAGTATCATGAGCAGTCAGTGATGCGGAAAATGCAGAGATACTCATTTTCCAAGGGGGAGCTGTAGGATGGTTTGCCCAGTTTGTGCCAGTCAGTAAGTGCTTGCCATGAGGAACTCAAACTGGTGTTGGTGCCACGCTGCAGGAACGCTGGCAGGACTGTAAAAGAGTGAAAACCTGTGAGCTTGTGGTGAGAAACAGCAGAAAACGGTAGAGAAGCCTGCTCTGGTCCTCCAGCACTAAGCAACTGCCTTTGATGCAGACCAAAGGTGAGACGTTAAGTAGAAAGTGGGAATTGAAATTGCTTCTGAAAGTACCACCAAGGTGCAGCTGCAACGTGCACTTCCTTTCACCATGCTCTGCAGGATGTAGCAAATTAGTTTGGAGCTGCCTCCTTTTGAGAGGGGAAAAAAAGACAAGCAACAAACCTTGGTTTGGGGGTGGGGGAGAGATTCTTCTGAAAGCTGCTTTCAGGAATTGGTAGGAATTTTTCCTAAGAGTAATGGAAATGGGTGTATAACCTAATTTTAAAGGAGTCTTCAAAGCAGGATCACTCTCGCACCCTCGGACATAAAGTTGGCAGCAAAGGCACCTGCAGAGGAAAGCCTGTTTGAGAGGAAGCAGGAATCATAGAATCATGGAGTGGTTTGGGTTGGAAGGGACCTTAAAGATCAGTCCTGAAGCCAAACTCTGAAACCCATCTGAGATAGGGGGATAAAACCGCACAGAATGGGTGGAAAACCCACCCTGATGTGGGTATCATCATCTAGGGAGAGCACCGAGAGGAATCTTGGAGTTTTCCACACTGCTGTGGATTCTCACATAGGCTGAAGAAATTACCACTCGCCTGTTTCTTCTGCCTCATTTCAACCCAAAGGGGCTCAGTGCAAACATCTGAGCTTGAGGAGGGAATTTACCCCTGAAACATAGTTGAAAATGTTGATTTCATACAGCATGGCTTGCCAGATCTTTCTTTTTCAGGGCTGCTTTCATGTTGCCACCTCATTTTCGCTGTTACCCATTGTTTGTTCTCTGCATTTGATGTGGTTTATTACTCAGAACCAGAGTTAATACATATTCAGCAGTCCATGGTCTGTACTTTGGAGAAAGGACAAGTGATTCAGTGCCAGATTTAACTGTCTAACCCTCAGTCTGAGTGAGGAGCAGGTGGCCAGAACAGTACTTTCAAACAGGAAGCTTTGTATTTGATCTCTTGGTGCTTTTCTTCGATTGGTAGCTTGAGGCATAACCTTCAGCTCTTGTCTGGATGGAAAAGTCAGCTTCAAGCAGAAGGAAAAGCTATCCTGGCTTTTAATAAGGATTTGTGTGCAAGTGCTGGTGACGCTGGGGTTAATGGTGGAAAGGAAATCCAACAACAGGACTTGGGAATCCTCAGGTGTTTATATAGTGGGACCGAGATGGAGCATTATTGCTACGTGTTGCGTTTGCCTCTTTGTCATGAAATGATAGTCGTTTAAGGCAATGGCTTTGTTTTCTCTGGACATGGCTCCAGAGCCAGGAACCTGTCTGAAGGCCACGGATCTTCAGGAGTCCTTGGGTTCTTTACTGTGTACTTGCAATATGACTTTGGGCAAATCTTTTCCTGTTTCTGGGGGGCATTTATTTATCGGGAAATCGCCTTTCAGGCACCAGAGGTTCCAAGGGAAGATATAAATATCCTTTTTCATTCGTGTCTTGCTAGATTTCCAGTTCACAGGAACAGCCTGGATAGTGCCCTGTCACTGCAGGAGTTTATATTGTGATACACTTTATACAGTAGAAGGAAATTATCCACCAATGGTAAATAACAGGCAGCTCAGTGTTTTTAAAGGTTCTCTTGCTGTGACTATCACGAAGTGTACGTGACCCATGAAGATTCACATCTCAACTGCATTTCCTCATCTACGGGGGTTTAAATGAAACTTTTAGGAAGGTTGATAATGTCATTTGCTGCAATACTTGTTTTTTTCCTAAGCTACTTCCTTGTGCCTAAAGATGAGCGTTTTTCACTTTTGTGCTTTGTTTTACCTGCAGATGATGTGGTTAAAGTGAAAGGTGAATACAGTGAAAGAGAGGAGAGTGCTTTACATTCAGAGCCAATGGAAACCCCTGAAGAATCTGAACTGCCTTACACCTATCCCAGAGAATATAATGAATATGAAAGCATTAAACTGGAAAGACATTCGGGTTCATATGAGAACATCAGGCCAGCTAGTGGGAAAATGACTTGTGATATCTGTGGATTAGCATGTATTAGCCTCAATGTCTTGATGGTTCATAAGCGTAGCCACACTGGTAAATATCTCTCTATTATTCTTGTAAGAGCTGACTACTGAATTATTTGTAATCTAGTCTATTTATTTTTATCAAAGGATACTAAAATCAGGACTTCCTCCTTCTGTCCTTGATGCCACATGTGATCTGTAGCAAGTTACCCACTTTTCTGTGCCTCACTTTACCCCCTTTTCTTCCTATCAGGATCAAATGTCAGCCCAAGTGTGTTTGTGGGGCAGTTTAAGGATTTTGGATGAAAGGCACTACGTAATTGAAGTGTTTTAGACACAAAACACAAGTTAGATTGGTTTTGTGCTGCCGTTTCCAGTCTGTGTGTGTATTTCTCTTTGTGCTACACTTTGGCAACAAACCGGTGAGCATCTTGGGTTTCAACGTGCAGTAAGATAAGCCCTTCTTTTTCTAAAAGTTGCTAGCTTGTTGGAATCAGCCTCCTCCAGAACACTTATTTCCATGGAAAAACTGTACAGTGTTTTCCATGGTCTACATATGTTACAAGAAGCTCTGACACCAGAGCTGCAGTAACTCCCACTGAAGTCAACGGAAGGGCTCTGTGTGTTTCTATAGAAAGAAATTGATCCAGTCTCTCATTCTTTCCCCTTCCAAAGAGGAAAGGGTGTGAGGATAAACATGATACCCACATAACCATTAAATGTCCTTTTTTGTATGTCATTTTAAGGTGAACGGCCATTCCAGTGTAATCAGTGCGGAGCTTCCTTTACTCAGAAGGGAAACCTCCTCCGCCACATTAAACTACACACAGGGGAAAAACCTTTTAAATGTCATCTTTGCAGTTATGCCTGCCAAAGGAGGGATGCGCTAACAGGTCACTTAAGGACACATTCTGGTAAGTGACTTCAAAGGCACTTCATGTGTTTTAGATGTGTGTCACTAGGACACGAGGCGTGGAAAATGGAGAGCTCGTCAGCAAAGTCAGCTCAGCCGGTCTGGTTTTGAGGAGTCAGCAAATAGCAGTGACCACTCACCTGCCTGCTGTGCTGATGGAACCATCTCAGGGCTCGGCTCCCCTCTTGATGCACAAGGAGGGCCCAGGGAACCACGCTGTGTGCTGTGACAAACCAGACCTCCCAGCACAAAATAACTCCTTGGTGTTTCCAGAGTGGAGCCAGCTGTGCCAGCAAGCTCCATATTTGAGGAGTGCTTTGCTAGGACTTCCTTCTGTTCCTACACTGAGCTGGTAGGAGAGCTCTAGGAGCATCACCCAGGACAGCATGACCTTATTGGCAGTTAACACCTTGCTGTTGTGTAGTGCCTTTCATCTGAATGTCTTAACATGCTCAACAAATGCCAGGGTTTTTTCCCCAAGACCGGTAGCGTGTTCTGTCCATTTTCCAGATGGGAGAAACAGAGGCACAGACTTGAGGTGACTTGAATAACAATCCAGGTATAAATTGATTAATGTTAGTTCCCCCAGAGCCAGGCTGTGCTTCCTCTTTGCTTTGTGTATATCCTGTGTTATGCAGGGACCTAGGCACAAAACAGTTATTCTAAATGATAGATGCTACCTCTGCACTGCACTTCGCAGGCAAAAAAAGTTCAACCTCCCAAAGAATCAAAGTTCAAAATGAGATTACCTGACATGAATAAATGAGGTTCTGGTTTAGTCAAGCCCCAGCACAGTGGTGGTCACTGTTCCCCACCAGCACAATGCTAAAGCCATCATGCTTCAAACACACCATGTGGTTGTCGTGACTGAAGTCTGCAAGAGCTGGCTTATCAAATGGGAGAAAGAAAATCTCTCCAAGTGTATCACATCAAGAAGTGAGCAATTGCATTAGCAGCAGGGAGCACAGCATCCGGTGCAAGGCTAGTTGTATTTGTGCTGTACAGGGCTGATATTTTGCCTGGGTGTGTTAGAGGATGTCTGTTCACAAAACAGTAATGAGACAGTTTAGAAGGTGCTGCCAGTCCTTGTCCATGAGGCACTGGGAAAGGCTGTGTGGGTATCTTGAGTTTCAAACAGGTTTGCTTTAGCTTAAATGAATTAGGAAAGTCATTCCCTTTACAATATGTGTCTTTGGATATTAAATGAAGCTCACATATAGTTTTGAGTTGGTTTAAGTTCTTCAGTTTCATGAAATCCTTGAAAAAGTCTGTATAGACAGGAGCTAGGTGAGGCAATTGGGACAGCAGCAGCCCTGCTTTACAGCAGAACAGTTGCTCTTCCCTAAGGAAGTTAGGCCAAGAAAAGCCATCAGTTAGAGTAAAGCTCCAGTAACCTGAGCTCCTAGGAAGAGGGTCTAATCCTAAATCCTCTTCTTTCCTGGTGCTGAGTTTAGGGGATGAAGAGGAACTCTGTGCCTGGTGGGTTGCACCCTTGTGTAACCCTCATTTTTTGATGATCACATAAACTTAACAGAAGCTTCAAGCATTTTCAAGCAAGAGCTGACTGCATGCTATTAGTAATGATACACTTGAACGCCAGCGTTTCAGGAGTCTCTGGTGGTTATTTATGCTGCACTCTTCCTTTTCCAGTGGAGAAGCCATACAAGTGTGAGTTCTGCGGGAGGAGCTACAAGCAGAGGAGCTCGTTGGAGGAGCACCGGGAGCGGTGCCGTACGTACCTGCAGAACGCTGGCATGTGTGAGCCTGGTGAGTGTGTCACGCTGCAGTGGCTTTAGAAAAGGGCATCTGCTAAGCTGCTAATGGACAGCCTGAGAACAGTTTTTACTCCAGTCATTTTCAGGAGCCTCAAGGTCTATAACATCTCTGGAAAGGGTCTGGTTTAATGCATCCCTCAGGCAGCTAGTTAAAGAATGCTGTTATCGTAATCACTTTTTCATTTCACAGTTACTTTGGATAAAACATCTAAAGCACCCTGCACACAGCATTTCTGTAGGTGACACTCACAGTAAGTTAAATGATTCCTGCATTACTGCCATTTCCTGGCTTGTTTTATTGGCCAAGTTGGTGCCTACGACTGTTGACGATACTTGTTCATATGTCTCAGTCCATGGTCTGCCTGGAGCCTTCTCTTCTCCAGGCTGAACAAGCCCAACTCTCTCAGCCTGGCTCCAGAGCAGAGCTGCTCCCGTCTTTGGAGCATCCATAACTTGAAGGACTCGAGCTTCCTAGTTTGAGTTTGAATTTTCTTTGCAAAGAAAAGGCTAAACTGAGTTTTCACAGAAGAAAGCTAACATGTAAAAATATACTTAGATGACAACATTTACTAAGGCCCTTGAATAATGACAATAACTTAAAAACTGCGTTTAGTGAGATGACTATCAAGCAAGGATTGTGCAGGCTCATCACAAGCCTGGCCTAAAAATCAGTGTGAAGACCTGTTGATACACAACAGTAGCCATGTGGGTACAAGAGTCCTTACCCTGAGCAGAGTGAGTAGCTTGGTGTGTCAGGCCTTAGGTCACATGCATACACACAAGCCTCCATAAAGAGACAATGATTTAAAGAAGTTTGAGTTTTATAGCTTTCCATGGGCTATTTTCTTTTCAGCAAATGACATGTTTTTGTAGTAAAATTGAATTACGATCAGAGCATCAGCAAGTTTTGGGTTTCATGAGAACCCATACGCACCGTAACTGTGGTTTGATGGTACAGCACATACTCCCCTGATGGCAATCACTCAGAGATGTCCATACCATGTGGAAATGGAAAACATGATACCTACCACAGATTTATGCTTTGAAATCTGCTTCATGGTAGATATTCATTTCAGAATAGCAGCATTTCACTTATCCAGAATATGCTCTGTGTACTTGCTGCAGCGACACAGAGGAAATGTGAATTTCCAGTACGACGTAACATACCCCTGCCTTTGAGACTTTGCATCTTAAAAATGCAGCCCTGGTTTTAGTGGAGCACTGAGGTTTCTGACAAACAGGAACCCCACTCTTGCTGAGGCTTTTCCATTCCATTCTCTGCTATCAGCACTCTGTTAGATGACAGAGCCCGAGCGTGGGAAGGCGGGAAAGGGCCTCAGGAGCTCATTTAGTGCTTTTGGTTTGATTTTTTTCCCCTAAATGTAGCATTTTGTGCTTGTGTTTAGTGAGCATTTGTTTTACTTTCTGACCATTCCCCTACTTATCCACATCCCTTTGAATTGGGGAACTTCCCAATTCAAAGCTCAAGCACACTCTCCACGCCATCATCCAATAATTCACGACAATATCAAAGAGCAGCAGTGGTAACCATTCTGGTCACTTTGTAGTGCAGGGTTTGCGTGCTCCAGATGTGGAAATATCTCTGAACAAAGAGTTTTATGTAACAGTATTGTCAGAGCGTTGCTCAGCCCCTGATAGCAATCTCTGCTCGCATCGTTCTCATTGCACAAGAGCCCACCTCTCCGTTCCACTCTCCAGTATTGAGTGACCACATAGAAATGCTACAGGAAGCAATGCCTCTAATTTGAGCTCTGCTTTGTGCTTTAGGGGTGTGTTAGCAATGCCCACAAGTTCTAAAAATGGCACTCACATTTCTGGGGGGACAGACAGAAACCACACCATGGAAACAGCTCAGCAGAAGTTAAATCATTGTGTGTGCTCGTGCCCCGGGCTGGAAGGACAGTATCTGCTCTGCATGTCTGCAGAGTGACATGATGGTGAGGTGACAGCACTGTTTGAGAGAGGTGGCTCGTCCCTCAGTCATACATAAGTAATCATTCATGGAGATTTAGGTTAGATATTATCTAATTATATCATTATTATTAGATTATTGGAAGGGAGACTGAGATGAGCTCTTAGGCAGAAGCTCTTCCCTGTGAGGGTGCTGAGGCGCTGGCACAGGGTGCCCAGAGAAGCTGTGGCTGCCCCATCCCTGGCAGTGCTCAAGGCCAGGTTGGACACAGGGGCTTGGAGCAAGCTGCTCTAGTGGAAGGTGTCCCTGCCCATGGCAGGGGATTGGAACTGGATGAGCTTTAAGGCCCCTTCCCACCCAAACCAGGCTGGGATTCTGTGATTCAGCAGTTTTCTTCTGGAAATGCTTTATAAAGAGAAGCTCACAACTGCAATGTTCACAGCCCTGAGGCAGGCAGCAGTGCGCTGAAGCACCACAGACACCTCTCTGGTGGTGGTGAGGGGAGGCTGTAATCAGTGTTAGCTGAGTAGGAGGCAATGCCCCAGGTTTAAAAGCAGTCAGGACATTGGAACTAAACCCCATCCTACTACTGTAAGAAATCCTGTGGTATTAGTGGGTCAGGTAATTGAAGAGGGAGACAGGGCCTGATTGTTTCTCTCTGAGAAGTCTGTAGAGGATTTTAAGTGATTAAAGCCAATGTTTCCCAAATACTAAATATTATTCTTGGGCTGTTTAATAAACAGTCCAGAAGAAAGAGGTGGGGGAGATAATTTTAAGTTCACTTTTGGGTAGAGAGCAGTGTTGTGGGATGGAACCAGTGTAACCACCTGTGTGTCAGTGGGAGCAGAGGCTGTTTCCCTCAGGCTGCTCTATGAAGAGGTTGTCAAAGACCCTTTGTGGCCCATAAATGGAGATGATTTTTTTTTCTTGAGGAAAAAAATGGCTCTTAGCAAGGAGTAGAAAATCTTAATGTGCAAGAAAAGACTCCCAGCCTTTAAGTAAAATGGCAGAGAGACATCAAGCTGGGAGACTGATAATTACAGATGTCCTAGAACATCTTATGTAGGTCAGTAGTTACTGTCTCCTCAGCAGTCTCCTCTGAGTAAAGACTCTTGTTACCTCTGCAGGAAGCTGCTTGCCTGCCCTCTTGACACTAATTTAATGACATTCCCTTGGTGGCACTTAAAATACCATTGACAAGACAAGCAGTCAGTGACACTGCACCCAGGCTCCAGCCTGCGTCTGGGCTGGCTGATAAGGCTCCAGAAGCTTCACTATCAAGAGCAAAAGAGTCTGCAAATGTGAAATTAAAGCTGGAGTAGAGCATAAGTGCAACTGGTGAAGTTAAAGGTTGAGAAAAAGCGGAACTAGAACAAAACAAGAACCGTGAAGGAATGGTAGGGACCAAGGTGCTGCTTTCTGACGTGGATGAATCGTGTTTCCTTTCTTTATGTGTTTTGAATATACAGCACCCTTTGTGTTATCTTGTTCAGGGCAGTTGTGGGTTGCTGGGGGGGGAGGGGGGGGTTAAATTCAAATTACTACTGCTTTGTGCAGTGATCTGACAAGTTGACAGCTTTCTGCCTTGGGGATAGTTCCAGCCTTGAACTGCAGTTGTTTGCAGACTATATAAGGAGCTCGGGAAGCATAGTCCATCTTTCTGGGGCATGAGTGTTAAACAGAAGCTCTGAAATCACAAATCCCATCACAGCATCCTCAAGAATTAACTAGAGCTTCTGGCCAAAATCCAAAGGGATGATCATGTTCTGCTACCTCACTTTCCTTTACGGTTTCAACTTAATCTGATGTTTTGCTTCACTTTATGTCAACTATTACGTAGTGTCTTGGTATTTCATGCTGGCAGCAGATGCCTTTTAGCAGCTAATGAATATATTCATTCTAAGTATAATATGAGTTCTATTTATTCTAAGTCTTTAAACATCCTAGGGTAATTTAGAATCAAAATCAGCCTAGGAAGGCAGGATGTTATTACCTTTCAGGCTCTGAGCATGCCCTTTGTGGGTCTCATTATCACGTACATCACGGGGTTACAGCCTGATGAAACAGGGCTGAAGTGAACCCTGTTCTCCATCTACCCTGAGTCATACTCAAAGGCAGTATTTGTGGCATTGAGTGCTTCTGAAGCACTTTACATGTTTAAAATGCTGAACAAACATTAACAGATGCTTCTGGCTGAGGTTGGTGCTGACTGCAACTCATATGATATCAATAGCAGCACTAATAAACAGGGGTGACTTTGGCATTTCCAGGGAGATGCTGCATTTTTATCACTTCTTGTACTGGGCAAACTGCAATTTAAGCCCAGTACTTAATGAAAAGTGCATTTAACAGGACTGCAGTGATACCAAAGCACTTGGGTCACTTTCCTCTGGCATTACTTCCGTCTTACATACATGATGCTTCATATATTTAGGTACAAAAGTACAATCACACGCAACCAGGATTCTTTCACAGTGAGAGCTGACCTTTAGTATTACCTTGGGAAAGTAAATTACCCTGCCTTGCCTTTGCTTTCCTCTACTTAGATACCAGCTCTTAAAGGCATGGGCAAGCTCTTGCAATGTGTCCAGTTTCACCACATTTGCTCCCTGACACTGAAACTCTTTGTGCTACTTGTTAATATAAAAACACCACAACTGCTGCTTGTTCTGCAGGCGAGCGGGAGCTTTGGGGGGGGGGAAGCCACAGCAGTTACACTCAGTATTAGTCTGGTAGTAGTGATATGAGGTGGCTGATCCACCTCAAAAGCCTGTGCAGCCTCCCTGAGGTGAGAACAAGCAGTCATTTCCGTGAAATGGGGAGCACCGGTGAGCTCTGGTGAGCACGGCTCAAGGAGACTCTGGAAAATGGTCCTAGCCTTAAAGCTGTCGGTGGCCCTGGGTCGAGGGAGCGATCGTAGGGCATGGTTTCCTGGAATTGGAAATTATGGAGGTTGTGATGAGCTTTAAAGCACCTCATGCTTAGGAGCGTGCCAGGGAGCAACGTTCTGAGGATGTTTGGGGCAAAAAAGAAGTGATAAAGGCACCTGGGGGGAAATGAGCTGGAAGAGACTCTTGAAAGGTTTTATTATTTGAATCATTTTTTGCTATACTTCATGCCAGTTTCTTAGTGGTTACTGAAGACCTCTAAGTGTGAGTGATACCTAAAGCAGTGTGGCAAGAGGACCGAATGTCTTTTACTGCAGCACTGGAGCATGGTGGCAGCCTGCAGATGTCCTGGTCTTACTCAGAATAGAAAAGGCAGGCTAGCAGAGGTTGTATCTCCAGCTACATTTTGTAACCAGCCCTTCCAGCCAGTTGATTTTGCACTTCCTCTTGCTAATGAAGACACTGGGTCTTACGGTTTCTGCTCCCTTTGCATGAGCTCAGGACTGCAAGATCAGTGTCTGCCGCCGCGCTTGGTTCCACTGACCGCAACTGGTGCCCAAGACGCAAAGAGCAAGAACAGCAGAAGCAGCAAAACAAGCTGACATCAGATCTCCAAACTGTTTCCTCCCAGTTAGCGTGGCAAACTCCGGAGATTAAACCATTCATCTCCTCCTTTATTATTTTAATTTCTTTTTTTTTTCCTTTTTTTCCCCTTTTCACCTACTTGTTGTGTTCTTGTTTTTTTCTTGTCTTCCTTGTCACATTTCGGAAGTAGCGAGCGTGGAGGGAAGGCACATCAAGGCAGAGATGGGGAGTGAAAGAGCCCTTGTGCTGGACAGGCTAGCGAGCAACGTGGCAAAGAGAAAAAGCTCAATGCCTCAGAAATTTATTGGTAAGAACAAAAAACCTTTTCATGTGCAACAGTTTAATGTGCGCGAGCTGGTTACTTCTAGGACAATGCCTCTGCTTCTTTTAAACAGCCTGCTCGAGTTTATAACCTAAGCTAATACAAAAGAGTATAAATAAAGTAACTTGGCTGATTCTGATGTGGTTTTAGTGATTTGTTGTAGGGGGTTGATTAAAATACAAAGACTAGATACTTAAACTGGATGGAAGCTACTGCTGTGCTGTGTGTCTGTCTGTGTAGGCAATGTAGAGGTCTGACAAGCTTCCATGTGCTGTTTTCTGTACCTGTGTGTTTGAAATGTTCTCTGCTAGGCTCTTCCCAGGAAGAGAACAGGAAGGCTCCATGCTGTTAAGAGCAAGGTGCTCTGTCTGGTCAGCAGGAGCTGAAGATACTTAGGATGCATGTGTGGCATAAGGCCTAGAGACAGAAAGGTATTGAATTTCTGTTAGTCATCCTGCTGCTGAATTTGAATACGATTCAGAAAATATCAGATCCTTTCTTGTGGTAATTTAAGCAACAGGATGTTTCCATAGTATTTTCTTTGCATTTAATTTCCTATGATCAGAGTTTTACATGCCGGGGATCTCACATACTAGTTTGGCAGGTTCTGTGCTCCAGTGAACGCCTGATCCTCTCGGCTAGGCTGCTTTCATTAACTCGCCTTTTAAGAAAGTGAAATGCAACTCTTGTGTCCTGAGTAAAGACCTGACTTAGTCAGCAGTTACATGAGACTAGTACTAGCAATGCCTTGTTTATGTTCTGTTTGGGCATATAAGGCACTGAGTGATGCTTTTCTTACTATGAACTTTATGGTTAGTGCAGGGTCTGAGCAGTGGCTGGTGCTCACACACATGACCAGGGAGGGAAGAAGCATGGGGCTGAGCACACAGGCAGGGATCAGGCCCATTTGGCAGGGGATGTGCTGAGGACCTGGCCTGAAGGCCACGTGTCCCTGAGGTCCAAGCCTAGGTACAGGAATGCTGCTGAATCCATACAGACATAAACCCAGAGTGGTTTCTGAAGGTAACATAGCTCTGGGTGGATTTGGTGGGTAGCACTGGACTTTCACCCATGAAAACTGCTAGTTTTTATTAAGATACCTTAGTATGGCTTTAAAAAGGTCACCTCTTCACACGGGAGTGAAGTAACACTCCATGTGAGTGCCTTTGGGTGCTTCATACTGAAACTGTTGACTATGTGACTTCAGCCTTACATGTCCTGCTGTGATTCAGAAAGTAATGCTAATGCAAATGGGTTTGAAAATCTTTTAGCTTCCTTTTTCTTAGCACAGAGATGAGCTTCACCCTACCTTGGTCGACACTTGCTACCGTTTCAATCGTGGTGTACTTTATTAATCACACACGCAGCATACTTCACTTCAAGTGAAGCGTGTTTCTTGTTTGTTTTACCAGTTTAGCAGTTACCATATGGAACAGATCCTTGTCTGATTTGTGATGGAGCTCAGTAACGCACTGGGGTGATGGCATGCACTCATGCTGCATCACGGGGAGGGGGTTTGTGGGGAAGTTGGAGGACCCAGGAACAAAATAGCTGATTTCTGAAGCTTAAAGTGATTTTCCTGAACCTGTGGGGTTCTTGTTAAGTTGCATGTGAAAACATTACTTGGTCCCTTTTATCCTTGGGAAGTGGATTATCCTTGGGAAGAGGGGTCTGTCCGACCTCAGTGTGACTCCTGTGACTGTCTGAACTGCTCGTGTGGGAGTGCAGATCTAAGAGGACAGCTTTGGGGTTCCTTGGGAAACAGCGTTGTTGGAATGGGTGCTGATTTTTCATGCTGTCAGGGAGGAGGGATAGCGATGTGTACTAACAAGGCCTCTTTGTTAGGCTCAGTTCTGTGAATGAAGTCCATTGATCGGGAAATAAAACTCAACTGCATTATTATTTGAGGGCTCTGCAGAGGTTCATACAAGCACCAGGAGTTTTGCCCACTTTGTTTCTCCCATTTTCATTTGCAGGAGCTACCTCGTGTGCATAGTAAGTCTCAAATAAGGACACAGATCAGCAAACCACCTACTTGACTCTTAACCTCTGCACTACGCCCCTCTCCAAAGCCTTCTCCCATAAAGATTTAGTTTTTCCCTTAGTGCTGAGGGAACAAGGATTTAAATGGAAGTTTATGGTTTTGTGTTTCCTGTTTTGCTCTGGATCTCTGTTTTGCATGTGTATGGAGCAAAGTACAAGCCTTGGCTTTTTGTACTTCCTGGTTTGATTAATGAACAGATACTTATAAAGAAAACAGCCCAGCAGAACAGCTCGATACCTGCTCGTGGTTTCACTGCTCTCTAGAGCACTCATAGGGCTCTATCTTCAATTGGTGCAAGTCAAAGTAACCGCTGCAGTCAAGGCATTGCTGCAGTGTACCTCAGCTGAGCATCTCAGCCTACAGACTTCTATTTCTTCACTTTAAAAACAAGTTCTCCCAGAGACCAAGAGCGAAAATCTATTTCTGATAGTGGTGGAAGTGTCAGGGCAGCTCCAACGCAGCTCCACACACCACTGTTCCCTGGGGTGTGAAGTCTCATGAGAAATGGCTGCTTTGGTTAGCAGGGTGGCAGGAAGCAGGTTCCCTCCCTCTTCCCAGTGTCCACACCTCACCAGGCTGCAAAATCAAAGTGGTTTTGAGTGAGTGAAGAGCCACAGAGCAACCAGCACACGAGAACATGTCCCGCACTATGGCTCATGTGTGGATGTTGAAAGGGAAAGCTTTAGCATTGCTTACAGAGACAAGCAAAAGAGAGGAAAGATGTTCTGCTAACCAGTGGCTGCGTGGCCAGTGAAGACTGGAGAGCCAAGTCTGCATCTGATGCCTTGTTGCCTTTTGAAGGTGTGCAGCACCACAAGGCAATAATGTTCTGGTGTCAGAAGAGCTTTTGGGTGTTTGCATTTCATTTGATACAACCTTGAATCAAAGGGCGATGGTCGTGAGGACTTTCAAAAGCCACCAGGATAGTGGGATAACAGCACGTGAGAGCCTCAGAGATCATATGTTGTGGTTTTTGTCTCTTCTCTTATGACAATGAACCCCAAATTCACAGGGAGTCCCAAATATCTATTTTCACTTCTGTTGCCTTTTTGTTCACATTTTTCATTCTCTTGGAGCTGGGTTTGACTCATACAAACATGCTCTATGGTCTGGTTTCCTCCTGTGTGAAGTCCTGGTGAGGGCTGGAAGCAGTTACACACTTTTGGTTCACTCACCTTTTTGAGTGTTTTTATAAGAGAAACGTGAGCTCCTGGGTTTCTGCCTCTGCAGTGAAACCTCATGAGTTTCATATCCATTGAGTCATGGTGTTGACAGGTGACTGATAAACATCTGCACTATCTGAGTTACCGTAACTCAAAGATTGGTGGATCTGATGTTTCCAAGTCAGTAACCATCCTCACCTCCTCCTCTATGAGACTTATTTTGCTTCCAAGCCTGAGCTTTACCAAATGAACAAAACCCATCCCTCGCCCCCAAAAGCTACTTGGGTGTGTGAAGAGCCTCTTTCAGCAGAGAACATTTCATGCCTCTTTGCTTTCCAGAGACTGCTGCCATTTAAAACAGACCTCGTGGAGTCTAAATGCTTCTTTACCCACCCAGGTGACTTCATGCCTCTCCTCTCTTGCAGGTGAGAAACGCCACGGTTTTGATGTTAATTATCATTCAAGTTTCATGTACGAAAAGGAAAGCGATGTGATGCAAGGACGTATGATGGACCAGGCCATAAACAATGCCATCACCTACCTGGGGGCTGAAGCCTTGCGCCCTCTTGTGCAGACACCACCAGCTCCCACCTCCGAGATGGTCCCCGTCATCAGCAGCCTGTACCCCATTGCGCTGACCCGCGCTGAGGTGCCCAACGGCACCTCGCAGGATGCTGAGAAGAGCCACCCCCACCTAAGGGACAAAAGCCTGTCTTCAGACAGAGGCCTCTCCCCCAACAACAGTGGCCAAGACTCCACAGACACTGACAGCAACCACGAGGAGCGGCAGAATCCCGCTTTCCACCCAAGCCAGATGCTCCCCGCTCAGGCCCGCAACGGCCTCCAGCCCTTGAAGGACTTCCCAAGGCCGTACGACATCATCAAGCCGCCTGCCATATGCCCACGAGATGCCTTCAAGGTCATCAACAAGGACGGGGAAGCCATTGGGGTGTACCGGTGTGACCACTGCCACGTCCTCTTTTTGGATTACGTGATGTTCACCATCCACATGGGCTGCCACGGCTTCCGTGACCCCTTCGAGTGCAACGTCTGCGGGTACCGGAGCCACGATCGCTACGAGTTCTCGTCCCACATAGCACGAGGAGAGCACCGGGTGGTGCTCAAGTAAAAGGACCCGTTTCACAAGGTCAGAGGGGAGGCTCGTTGGGTTGTCATTAGCAGGAAGAAACCTCTTGAATATATTTTTCTATGCCAGAGTGTCATGGGGCAGGTGACACCTTTTTACACGTTCCTTTGCAAACCAGTCAGTGTTCTGTAGCATCTCTGCCTCGCTGCTGTGCTGGCTGGGACTGAGCAAATCCCAGGAGCAGAGACCCGTTTTTAGAGGAAGTTTATTTTTGTGCAAATTAAGAGCCATTATTTTTTTAACGTGCATTTGTGTTTCCTAATGTGTGCTTTAACTCAGCTCAAAAGGGTTTGATGCCCTGCTGATGCTGGTCCCATGTGTAGGAGCAGGAATATAGGAGGAGCTTTGTTTTAGCTGTTACAATCCCAACGGGCTTCAAATCACTAAAACAAGGCAAACACACTGGGAGGGATTATTAATTCCTCTTCAAAGGTTTTCCCCTAAGTTTTAAAGAGCATGTGGCCCCACCACACTTTCATTTTTCTTCCCCTTCTGTTCACCTGCTTTAAAGTCACTCCCACACGTGTCTCAGTAAGAGCAAAGCGAGAGATGAGACCTGGGTTGGGGGTTTTTAACAGCACGCCTTTTTGGGATACCCAGTGAGGTCACTGCTTGGCTCACCCATGCAGTCTGGGGGGAAATCCTGCCTTTCAGTGATGGGAAGTCCTCCTTTCCGATGGGTGCCAGGACCAAGGAGGACACTGTGTCTGGTGGGGGGGGGACACAACACCCTGAAGTTCTCTTTCCCAATGGGTGCCAAGACCAAGGAGGCAGCGACGGGCTCGTGGCGGAGTCACCGGCGCCGTGAGAACCTGCACCGGGGTGTGTGGGAGCCGCCAGCTCCGTCTGCTCTTAGGTGGGGATGTCCCTCGGTGTGAAATGTGCTGTTTTGCAAAATGACTATTTACCATGACTTTGAAGCTGGGTTCTAAAATAGCTCTTTTAATCTAATCGCTGCTCTGCAGCTGTATTACTACTCACTGCGCTGGAGATAGGAATTTGATAGCAGTTTTGCTGAGTGAATGTTTGTTCTTTGCAAAGTATTTTGTGTAGCGTGGAGCCAGGTGTGTGCTGGTGGACTTCCTGCATCGTCTGGTTTGATAGCTACAGCGCTTCTGTACTCCTTTTGGTGTTGCTGTGCCAATATCCCTGGTGACCCGTGAGGGAGGGTCGGGTGCAAAGACCTGGGTAGAGTGCTGAGGGTCGAGAACTACTGAATTTCCTCCCTCCCTCTGACCTGGGCTCACTCTTTGGCCTCAAAGACTTTCTCCCTCCCTGAATTTTAAGGTCACAAGTGCTGTGGAAGAGCTAGATCCTCGATCCAGCTCATTGCAGGGGGTGAGAACTGGTTTGTACCTTGTGTGCTGTTACATGTGTAGGGATAAAATAGGCTTAGGATCTTTTCCCAATGACCAGTTTCCCATTGTGAGGCACAGTGAGCGGGTGGATCTTGCCTCTTCCCAATGCCGTGGCGTGACAAAGATCCTTCTGTGAGCGAGGCTGCAGTTCCACCACAGTCATCCAAGGACTGACATCAGGCAGCAGCCTGGGTTTGGGAAGCATTTGGCCAGTTCCCCGCTTCACCTGGTGTAAATCCTGCCACAGCTCCATCCCTCCTGCTGCATTCCTGGGGAAAGCTGAGCTCCTCACACACCGTGGCTGATGAACAGCACTCCTCATGGTTTGCCAGCGACGAATAAGGTCACCCACCGTGAAGCATCACTTGTCCTTTGCACTGGAAGCTCCTCACAGCACCGTGACCGGTTCCTCACGCCGCTGCCCAGTCCTTGAAATCCCTCTTCAGATGAACTCTTGCCACTTCCCTTCCCGTCAGACAGAGCTGAGGCCACCCCCAGCTGAGGGGAGCCAGCACCATCCACCGTGGTGCCACCAGCACCATCCACCGTGGTGCCACCAGCAGCTCGGAGCACTGCTGCCGGGTTGGGAGAGGAAGGAGGGAGGTTTCCCCACCGCTGCTCGGGCAGAGCCATGATTTCCAGATGGGCTGAACCAGGAGCCATTCCCGGCGCTGCCTGCAGCCTCATTCCAGCTCCGCTGTTGAGCAGCCCTGGGGTGGAATTTCAAGCCAGTCGTTCATTAAAACCTATCGCTGTGTTTTGATGAGTTTAGCTGCTGCGTGGTGCCTGAGCCGTGTCCCCAGAGCAGGATTCACCGGCGCCGAGCCGGGCTCAGCCCCCTCCAAGTGCTCCCCTCCGCACTGGGAACACCACCAGCGTGGCAAACCCCATCCTACTGCACTGCCCCACGAGCTCAGCACCCTCCCTCGTCGCCAAGCATAGGGAAGCCCATTGAGACGTACCCATCCATCCAAGAGCTCCGCTCCATCCTGGGCAGGCATCTGAGGTTTGCAAATCCCCCCATCTGGGAAAGCAGAGGGATGAAAAGCACCGGTGTTTGTTGTGAGCCTGGTTCGTGCTCCTCCTGCTTTGGTTATTTTTGGTACAAAGCAAATTTTGGTGGGGATGGTTCTCTTCGACCACTGCTTGGTCTTGTCTCACTTGGGTTCTTCGTTTACTGATGAATTAGAGCCCAACAGTGGGAGCACGGAGGCAGCTCAGGGAAGTGGCTTTTAGCACTAAGAAAGCAGCCTCTGGGGCCTCAGAGTTGATAGAAGTTCTTTAAAACTTCAATAAACTCTCATGTACGTCATGGTTAAAGGCACTGAAGGCAGCTTGGATGGGACTTGGAGCAACCTGGTCCGGTGGAAGGTGGCCCTGCCCATGGCAGGGGGTTGGAACTGGATGAGCTTTAAGGTCCCTTCCAACCCAAACCGTTGTGTGGTTCTGTGAAAGCAGAGGTGATGGCAGTGCTCAGGGCTGGAAAATGGGGGAAAATGGTGGCACATGAGGGAGGAAACCTCTTCCTCTTCTCTGATCAGGGGCTGCTCCTGGCTTCCCTTGGCCCCCCAGCCAGCCCGGGACAAGCGTTTGAGGGAGGGGAATGGCCCAAATTTGCCCTGGCAGAGCAGAAGTTCTGTGTCCAGCTCTGGGGCAGCAGTGCAAGAGGGACGTGGAGCTGTCAGATGAGGCCAGAGGAGGCCATGGGGATGCTGCAGGGCTGGAGCAGCTCTGCTCTGGAGCCAGGCTGAGAGAGCTGGGCTGGGTCAGCCTGGACAAGAGAAGGCTCCTGAAGGGGAGACCTGAGAGCAGCTCCAGGGCCTAAAGGGGCTGCAGGAAGCTATTCCCGTGGCATGCCCTGGCTGCCTGCCCTGCTCCCAGCCTCAGGACACACTCCTTGGTGTCACCAAGCTGCATCCTGCAGTGTCACAGTCCTCCGTGACCTGCCCATGGACAGGTCTATGGGGTGAAGGCAGCTCCCAGCCCACTGCAGGATGGGCCCAGCTTTGCCCTAAGGTGAGGCTGGAGCCAGATGGAAACATCCTGGCTCCCACCACCCCTCCCACAGCCCTTTCTCAGCACCTCTTCAGGCAGGGTGACGTTGTTCACGCTCATTGCACGCTCTCCTGACACCTACCACGAGGAGCTGGGCAGGCTTGAGAAACAGAAGGGGAAAAGCAGCAAGCCAGAGGATCCTTTTTGCCTTTTACCTCCACATCCTCCCTTGCCTGGGGGCAGCACAAGAGCCAAGAGGTGTTTTCCCTGCGTTGTGCTGCTGCCCCAGCCTGGCTTTTCACTCAAGAAGAGCTGGTTTGATGCCACCCCCTCTCCCCAGCCCTCTTCTGGAATCAAATGCTTTTAAAGCCCCGGCTTTATGAAGACGTTGGTGTTATGACAGGGAGATCCTTATCTGCTGATATGCTGTAATGAGGATAGAGCAGAGAGGAACCCGTTTCCACCGTCGTGTCGAAACACGCTTTGTGCCACACACCGAACTCCCGTCAGACGCTGCATCCCCGGAGCATCCCATCCGGCTCCTGCTGCCGCCCCGGGAGAGCTCCAGAGCCCGGCGACTGGGAGAGGGGAGAGCAGGGCAGGGAGGATTTGAGTCACCACCAACACCTCCTCCTCCTCCGTGTCGCGACGCTCCAGGCTGAGTCACACTCCCCTGCGCCGGCCCGGTGAGGAGCCGCCGCCGTTCTGCGTCCTCACCATGGGCTGGGATCCTCTGATCCCAAACCGGGGGCATGGGAACATCCCTGCGCTTCCCCTGGGGGCTGAGTGACAACGGGAGGGGAAAGGGAGCAATGAATGGGATGGGATAAGAAGGGATAGGAGGGAGTGGGGATGGGATTGGAAGGGATGGGAGGGGGTGGAATGGGAGCCTCACACATGCCCCCATGCAGAGCCTTGTGCCCAACACCGGCACCGCCAAGGCGCAGTGTGGGGGACACGGGTGTGCAGCAGGGCCATGGCCGGGCTGTCACCGCGTCACCGCGCCGGGGGCAGCAGGTTCCTGTCACCCCCCGTCCCTGAGCCCCCCGGGGAGCCTCCTGCTCCGGTGCCATCCCCTCCACGGCCTATATCTGGCTCCCCATTTGCATGGCAGCGAAGCAGTGCATCTGGGCAGCGACACCGCGCGTCCCAGGCGGCCTCGCCGGGGACAGGAAAGTCCCAGCACGTGGTTGGGTGTAGAAGAACAGCTTCAACCCCTTGGGTTCAACCCCTTCACCCCCGCAGTGGGATGGGGATCACGGAATGGTTTGAATTGGAAGGGACCTTAAAGCTCCTCCAGCTCCAGCCCCTGCCCTGGGCAGGGACCCCTTCCACTGGAGCAGCTTGCTCCAAGCCCCTGTGTCCAGCCTGGCCTGGGTGATGCTCTGCAGCGGTGCTCCATGAGCAGGGAGGATGCTCCCAGGCTGGGGCTGATGCTCCTCAGCCATAAGCACGGCCCCGGTGCCTCCCATCAATGGAGGAACCCCTCGCCCAGTTCCGTTTCCCCCCTCGCTTTTCCCACCGCAGGCTGTGAGCGGAGCCAAAGCCACCACAGGAACGTTGGGAATGATCCTGCTCCCCCCCCAGCCACAGCCCCACTGCTGCTCCCCTGCTCCCTGTGGGGCTGGGGGTACGTGTGGGGGGGTCCTGCCCTCCCTTAGCCCCATTTCCCACAGCTGTGGCTGTGTGTTGGGGGGTGTAGGGGGGGCTGAGCCTCCCTTGGGGCCCCCCCCAGGCTGTTGCAGCCCCCCCCGGAGTGGAGAAAGTTACTCAAAGGTGCAGAAACCACAGTGCGGGGGGGGGGGGGGGGAGGTTGTGGCTCTGCCACCGCTTTGGTGTCACCCAGCACGGCCCGCAGGTGCTGCACCACCGCCATAGCCCCAGCTACGGAGCTCGTGCGAGAAGGGGGGGTCATGCAAAACGTGGGTCCTCCTTCAGCTCCTCCACCCATCCTGCCCCCGGATGGGCCACGTGCACGGCACGGCCTGGTGCACAGCACCATCCATCCCATCGCACACACGGGGGGGGGGTTAGGGGCTGCACCCACATCACACGTGCGGCCGCTCGCCATCCCGGGCATGGGGGAGCACTGGGGAGCACGGTGGGAGCTGGGATGGGTTCTGGGGAGCGCGGTTTCCCCTTGCTCTCACCGTGTGCAGTCACAGCAGCACCCACACAGCAGCACCCTGCTGGGGCGCCCTGACACATCTGCGCCTGGCGCTGCACCCACCGTGCACCCTGCACCCTGCACCCTGTGCTGTGCTGCACGTGGGGACGGGGCTTTGCCCTTCCTGTGCACATCGTCACCCCATCCCCATCCCACCTCATCCCCATCCCCTCTCCATCCTGTCTGGAG